ATTAAAATCGCCCATAAGCAGAAAGTGTGGACGACTCATGTGGGTCCGAAGAGTGGGCAGCCAATCCAAACAACGACTCAGGGGACTGCGATAAACTGCGCCCACAAGCAGTTCCCCGCGCCTGAGGCGGAAGGAGCACCACAGTAGCTCACACAGACCATCGTCACTTCGGTAGGTGCTCACAAGTCTCCCACGCAGGGAAGACCGGATGTAAAGTAAGACACCACCGTGGGCATTCTTTAGTCTATCGCATCGGAAACACGAGTAACCGTTGAGTTCAAGTTCTTGGGTGTATAACTCTGCATGCAGCCATGTCTCTGCGAGTCCCACTACGTCTGGCCGCTCAGACGCAACGAAACAACAAAGCTCATCGCGCTTATTCATAATACTGCAAACGTTTGTGAAGGCCACTCGCAGGCCGCAGCAGGAGCCACCGGGCGTGCTTGAGGTGTGAGCAGCCTGTTTATCCTGATTCGCGGATTGTTGGAAACAACCCGAAAATTTACAATACGAAGATTTGTTTCCCCCTCACCAGTGCGTCTTTTCAACTCAATGATGGCAGACTTGAGCCGCTCCCTGTCTACTGGGTCCAGGTCGGGACGAACATGGATCTTCAAACCATCCAGCCTACTTAGGCGAGACATGATCAGTCTCGGACTGGCTTCGTCCACAAAAGTGATTAGCATAGGCTGATTTTGTTGATCACCTTGTTTTCCAAGACGGGTAATCTGCCTTACTTTTACCGAGTCCTCACCAGCGTCGAGGAGTCTATCAACTAGACCCTGTAAAAACTCGACATCGTGATCGTAGCGCACTTGGGGTGATGGATCACTGGATTCCGGCGCGTGAAAGATCACGAGATTATAACGCCTCTGGTCGGACGAGGTTGGCCTTGCAGGGCGAAGTATACTACCAGCCTCAAGTGGTTTGGCTAACTGTTGACTTACAGAACGTAAACGCCCAATGTTCCTTCGTGATTTCGTCCTCTATTCTTTCCACTGGTCTTCAGCACTCAGACTTTCACCTGCTGGGACATCAGTGCCCGGTGGACACAACAAAGGTAAACAATTGAGCCCAGGTGCAACTGGGCTTCTCACAACGGTTGGACTTCGTGTCAGTGAGTTTACACGGGTAGAAAAGGACGACTGATCCGAAACCTGAAGGCTCTTCGCGCTAGGTTGTTGGGCCAAACACACGGAGCTGTTCGCAACGAAACGCTGAGGCCTACACGTCGGCTTTACTCTTTCTGGCTGTATCTTATTTCGGCAATTTTCACATGTAGTTTGGACGAAATCGTGTTGGATCTCGCGAAGACGATGAAAATGCTCAACTGATAATCCAACACACGAAATGTGATATTTAACTTGGCACAAAACACACGTGAGGGCATTTGCACGGTATCGGACTAGTTTGGAGCAAGTACCACAGGATGACTGCTTCGGCATTGGGAATAATCCGAAAACAAGATGGCGGCCAACTGAGGAAGAAAATGGCGATAGCAAGATCGACGAAACCAAGAGATGTAAACACGAGTATTTCTGGTCGGAAATTTCAGAATCGGAAATGAAACTGAATTGTAGCTCAATTTCCACGAAACACTTCCAATGAACGCAGAAAGTTAACACAAAGTGATCATGTCAACACAGCCAAAAATAACCGACCGGAGGACGCTATCCGCAGTATATATATATATATATATATATATATATATATATATATATTTAAAAAGCCTTAATGATGAATACAACTGATGGTAAACCTGATTTAAAGTCACACCAGGACAAGATCATAACAGATATGGAAGTGCGGGTGAAACCTTCCGAGGGACTAACGTGCAAGAAGTAGGTCCCCTGGAGACGAATGCACGGTTGGCCGTATTACTTTACTAGAACATTTAGATTTATCTGCATTTATCACTATTATCAACCAACATCTGTTTGAAAGATGCAACCGGTCAATCAAGCCCGCAAAATAGCTTGGGGACTGCACTGGAAAAGAAAATTCGAAGGAATATTATCCGTCCCATGCGATCCCGTCTTACATAATGACCAGACCAATCAGCTGGACTGTGCCTCGCACCGTCGAGGAATATACCTTTTATCTATTTATTTAGGTTCAACCCATAGATTGAAATCTAAGTGTACAAAATCGATGGGCACCGTCCCAACCGGTTATGCAGCTAAATGGAGGCCGTGATGACGATTAGGGTGAGTCTAGTGGCCGAGCTGTTTAGGCAATCAAAAGACAGTTCCTAAGCACCGGCCACCAAGTCAAGTCCGATGAGTTCTGGTGCGCAATCAAAAACTCCACATCCTCAGGCTACTGGAAGCTATCGTTACAGGTCGCGAAAGGCCGCAGCCCTACGTGCAAAAATAGCTGACCGTATGAGCCCACTGTAGCATCGCGAAACGCACAGATTGGCCGCTAGTCGATCTATGCCTATCTCTCTGTACTCTCTATATCCTTAGCTGCATGAAGATGACTGACAAGCATGCATGAGATGACAGCTATGCCACAAATTGCATATCCTGAACATCCTGCTACAAAGTTGAAGTTAATGTTTCAAATTCAGGTTGTACGCTAAGTTCCTCTTATTCCCCCTTTATTATCATTCAGTCATTTAAGCATACAGCTGTAGGGTAGCTAACCATCAGTCCAAATTACTTATATATACTGCTGTTGTTGATGATGACAAAGACATGGTGACAAGTGCTACATGGCTGACACAGAACTGCCAGTACATTATCGGGCCTGAAAAGTACGGTCATCATGCAGACCTAAACTACTTAGTTCAGTGCGGAGCTCTCCCTAGGGAAACTACCACCAAGGGTCCATTCATCTGCGCAAATCACGATGGAGTTCCCCTTAGTAAAAACGCGGCCAACATATCCCGCACAGTTCCCACTGTACTCGCCTCAGTGTCACCATCATGTCTACCGGGCTCAGTTCAAGTCAACAGTCTGCCTCCTGAGCTGTGTTCATGCAAACGCTTTAGCAACCGAGTACGTTGAACAATTGTGATGTGTTCTACGTCTCTACAGCATCGACCCTGCCCATCTCTGCCCTGAGATAGGTCATTACATAGCAAGTCATGCGCCAACAAACGTACACCTTCCCTCATACTTTATATTTTTACTACTGTTGCAGTGAACTATAAATATAAAAGTATAGAAAGCACGGTTGCCTTGGTCGAGTCAGTAAAGGCACTCTTACTAGTGGTTAGTCCTTTTTCTGTGGGTCTCGGTATTGTTACGCGGCTTTTAAGTGTTCCGCTTGCCTTCTCAGTTGTGAGTTCACGTCTACCGGCTAAGTCAACTGGCCGTTCCAATTAGAATCACCTAGGCTACTCTGCACGTAGCCTAAAGGTAACAAGCCTGTGTTGTAATCTCAGGGCGAAGGTTCGGAGCAGGGCTACTAACGCAGTATCCTTAGCCCAGGTGCGACCAGGTGGTTTCGCGGCAACGAAGCGTAAGTACCGCGTACCGGCGTGCTGCTCATGCCCTTTACTCGGTGTGTGGGAACTAACGAGTGAGAGTTAGTCCGTTCCGAACAGAACAGTCGAAACTCAACAAGAAATTGTAAAGCATATGCTACAGGCAACGCGAATACGGCTCCAATATGGAAGATGACCAAGGGAAGCTCCTATAAATTCTACCGCGACTCCCAAAGACGTGTAGTGGCGAAAAACCTTTCGCTTGAATTCCCTACAACTAGCGTGCCTTACGGTTGTCCTATATCCCATTTTCTAGTTTATGATAGGGAAGATCGATAACGACTGTTCTCTCAAAATCTTCCAGAGTGAAAGTACTACCAGGTGACCATTTGATGAATCCTGGGTATGCGTATGACAGTTCTCCTTGGGTCTGGTGCATTGGCTATGTAAGCACTACCGGATAGACTGGTGCATAGCACTGCACGCTTCTGAATGTGCATCGCACATTCAAAGCACAAAGTACTGTTTCAGGACTGGACCGACTACCCACCAGTTCCAGCTATCGCCGAACGGCTACTGGAAGTGATGTATCGGTCTACTTACTTGGTGGCTAAAACATTGAGGTGGTTCACGTATCAGCGAATACCGTATAGCTTATCAGAGATCCAATCATCTATGGAGACGGCGAGAAATCAGTCTATCAGTTAAATGTGAGGTGTATAACGCCACTATAAGCCCTAAATGATCAGTCGTCCTAGATCACCGGTGCCTGCAAAGTATTGCTCACGTTTGGTGGGACAGGAGCGTGCAATACGGAGGTTCGCCGGTTGGAATGTGACAAAAAACCTGGTGCCTTACTGGAGCGGCTGTTGGAGTTGAGCCGCTCTGTTGTCTGTTTCCTGTTATAAGCATGCCCGTTGATGTAGATACCTTCGCTGCACCTGGTTGCGCAAAACCGTGAGGTAATCAGTCAATGGTGTAGCATAAACGTATGAGGAAATGTACAGAAGGACTTCGCCAGACTGATAAGGGGTGGGTGCTTTCTTGGTGGCTGAGGGCCTCTGGATAGGCCACACCGGTGGTTGGAGACCTTATCACATACAGTGTGGCATCGCGGTCATTGGCACTACTGCTTTGGATATTTGGTGTTTAATTTATTATACCCGTCTTACCCTAGCCCCTGTTTCTGTGCATTCTATCTGCGTTCCGCTCGATCTTCCGTGTCGTTGCTAGTAATAGTTGACCTGGTAACGTCAATCGTAGTAAATAGGTCCACTACACTTCAGTTCCCGGGTCATGGTTGTCCAACTGAACAGAACTAACAATTATAAACTGAACGAAGCGGTTAATTTCTGTCACTTGCCAACCCAATGAGGAAGTAGTGTTGATTATAATCTACCAATGGGAATAAAGATTTGAAAAATTAAAGACAACAACGAGTAGGGCGGAATAAACTGGGTAACACTACGGTGCATTCGCTTCCAGTGAGAAAAAACTGGAGGAGAAAGCGATGACCAACGAAGCAACCAGTGCTAAGGAGCTCAAATAAATTGTAACGAAGACGCGACAAATCCAATTAGGGCAGAGATGATGAAAATACTTTTATTTTAAAAATCACATGAAATCTGTGGTTGGAATGAATTTCTGAAGTTAAGATCAGGGGAACAGGATAAAATATAAACAGCGCAAAACAAGCAAGGCAAGAAATCGAGGATAAAAAGAAGACACGTAGGAACATGTTCATAGACAAGCACGCCGAAATACACCGCACGGCTTGCAGATACGGCGCGTTAGTCAGTTTCCTTACAGAAACCTTCTATACGGCTGGAGAACTTCCTTTCCTGATGGGGTAGCGGTTGGAGTTCTGCAAGAGGGTTCGTGAGCCTGAGCTAGGAGGTTTGCGAGCGCGAGGAATGTTGGGTGTTGGAGTCTTCGTCCCATCGTCCAAGGGCAAAGGAACAGATGAAGTACCATAAGAGCCAGGAGTGGACGCTATTCGTGAGGACGCGGTTTCTCTTCTTGAGGATAATGAAGGATAGCTTATAAAAGCTGATTTTTTCATGGCGACTGATGTAGCAGCCCGGGAGGCCTGTTTGTTTCCTGTTACATTTTGAAGGCGGTCGCGAAACGCACTAGACGGGGTGGGCCTAGACGTAGGACCTGTGGAGTTGGATCTGGGTGAATGTGCGGTTTGACGTGTCTGTGATCGCAAGGAATCCCTATTCGGTTTCGGTGCTTTTGACGCATTTGGTAGAAGCGTTGAATGCTGGGGCGCAGATGCAGCACTGGCGTCCTTAACTGAGTGCACTACGGTTGCAGTATCAGGTTGGTTACCAAAATGTGATGAGTCACTGCTGACTTCACCATTCTCGTTACTATGATGGCTACCAGCCTTCGACCAACGACGGTGTAGATTGACCATGGAGCCAGCAAATCCAGACTTATCCAGTGTCACATTAGCTGACTCGTATCCAGTAACAGTGGATGACATCGACGTAGACGAAGGCGGGTGGACCGAAGTAGTGCCACGTCTACACGGGTCATACCGCGTCAGGAATTGATCTAATGTGATCCAACCCCCGCCAACGCGGACCATGACATGATTGCGGAACCGACGCAGATAAAAGATGCGAGTGCCCATACGATAACGACCCTCCTCGAGCTCTTGAAGGTGCAACCGGTTGCAGCATGTGCAAAGTGCTAGCTTCTTGTTCACCTGTAATGAGGAAGTACAACTCTGTTATGATACCCAGAGATGAGAGACAGGGAAGCTGACGGAAGCAAACCGAAGGCGCTTAGGCGACTAGGAAGCAAAAACGTCGAACGGAACATAGAAAAGCAGAAGGAAAGCAAAACGATGCGGAACAAACAGCGGCGAACATGGATGCGCGAACATTTATGCGTATACCTGTTCAGCAATTATACTCTGGTCGCTTAGCGGTTTAGTAATAACGCTGAAAGTTTCAGGAGGCTGACCCTTCGCCACGTAGTTGTTCAGTGAGCAAGTTTGAAGGCTGTCAATTTCTTCGCTGCCAGAAGTTGATGATCCTAGCTTTAGTTCATGAAGGATAGTTACTGGGGTGTAACTACCCTCAGAATGCGGGATAGGCTTGGTGGGAGCAAAGTAATCGACGCCAGATAGAACCGAGGCATCGATTTTCATCAATTTGCAAGGTGTTGAGACAGAAAACAGCTGGTCGCCTGTGGATCTGAAGGGGCTTAACATGTCCGGTTGCCTCTTAGAACCAGATTTGAGAACAGAACGATTCAGTAGAGTCAGAGATGAGAGATCCACGGAGGCTACTTGGACCGGAGTCTAACATGGAGTAAAAATGAAGGAAATAAATGTGAATTGAAAACTAAGAAAGTGCTGGTAAGTCAAGTTGTGCATAGGATAATAGCACATACACAATAAGCATACAGTCGATGTGATGAGTCGGTTTCACTGCGCATGCGTATGTGCGGTCACCATTCAAAGTGGACAAAGACGGAAGGCAAAACTACAAAAGATAGCGGCCATGACCAAAACAACCAACCATAATCTACAAGTAATGACCGCACAAAGGCTGGAGAATCGATTAGAAATGACATTGAAAGATATATCACCTGGAAATTGGCTTACTTGATCTGACACGAATTCATCCGAAGAACGCAATGTGTTTTCGAACTGACGAGGACGAGTTTGGTCTCTAATTTGTTGATCATTTCGCGCAGTGACGTCGGGGTGAACGGGCGAAAAGCCATCAAGATGAGTCGCAACAGTTTGGCAAGTTTCATTTCGAGTAGCAGTTTGGGAGAGCGCCGCGGCTGCCGATTCTGATAACGATATATTCGACAGAGTGGAAGTGGAGCAATCGATTCTGCTGACGACTGGATGATGGTTTTGAGTCACATTGAAACAAAGGGATGTGGAAAACCGGCGGTCCGCGTTACCAATAGCCACATCGGCGGCAGTGCACGGTGACCTCGAGTCAAAAGACTATAAACATAGGATTACATAAAGTGACGGGAAGGAGGAAAGCAACAAATATACGCCATGATGGCTCATGTTTACGAAACACACATGTAGGAAAGTAAGTAAGAAAGTGAAGAAATGAAGGGCACCATGAAAGGTACGCCACAAAATATTTTTCAATCGCATTACCTCAGTGTCTTGAAAATTGTGAAACAGATCGGAAAACAAGATACCCGCGGTAGCAAATAGAACGATACGGGTGAAAAGAAACCTTGTTTATTTCATGAGAAACAATATCGAATCAAAAACGGTCGGGCAAAATATAAAAGATAAACGGTATATTCCTCGACATTGAAAGACGCAGACCGATTACGTGGTCTTATCACGTTGTACAAGCTAATGGGATATAGGAGAAAGTTGTTCGAGTTTTACCATGCTCCCAATGGAAGATTTAGTGTGTTCTATCAATGAAAAGTAATAAATTATAAAGAATCTGCCAAGAAGATTAAATATAGGTACAGCGGGAAGTTCAAAATAAAACAGAACGGACATCCATGGAACTGTTACATTGCGGGGTAATCCCTCGAGAGATTTTGTCCGCACTTCCATGTCCTAACTGGCCATGTTCAGAAGTGACTTTAAAACTAATAAGCTGTTATCATTTATTCATTTATCATTTATCATTTATCCTTTGCTGCTGTTGTTATGTGCGGGTAGGCCGTCATCACGTTGCCTAATTATTTTTGTTTGGGCCAATGTTTCAATCAATTGGATCCCCATCAAGGTGAAGCGGTCGGTGGACTTCAAACCAGCTCAGGTAAGTAACAAAACAAGGTTACACTAAAGTGCTCCAAAACGTGACAATTTCGGTTGAGTAAAGAACATCTGAGGTGACTAAAATAGATAATCGATATCAATGATCGTCAGGACACTTAGCCGGGAAATAGCAACCTAAGGATCTTAGGTGACGGAGCTCAGCTAATAAAACAATCCAATCATAAACGCAAGCAAATACTAAGGTATTTTGACTATAAACCTTTCCTTGTAAGCCCAGCTTTCATGTGCCGTATACCGAGACAATTTCGGTCAAAATCAGAAGTTAACAGAGGCACCAATAGTTACACTACTGTTAAAGCTTAGCGAGTAGTAGAATTCGTCAGGCAATTAATTTGAAAGTTGGTGGGCTGAAGAGTAGCGTTTACTTCATTTTACAAGCCCAGTGAAATGTCCTTAGATTCTGATTTATTTGAAAAAATGCACTCAGTGGCACTCTAACAAAGCTGCAGTATCTTATAGATTTAAGGGTACAAAGTTACACAGATTGACTGATCATCGACCCAGTTGTCAATAAGTCCGGCAGATGACACCGAGCATACTGAAGATGCAAAACGGAGAGGTTGAAACACCCACACACACAATACTAACATTTAAAACAAGTCTATGGAATACTAAAAAAGACAAAGTATATTATCCTGGTTATCTTGGAAACCAACAGTATCAGCCGACCATGGCTGTTCTACCCCAGAAATTATCGACAAAGACGACGACCATGGTAAGCACACTAACGTCAGCTAGGATAAGCGATGTTATAAAGCCATGAACCAAAAGAAAGTGTACAAATACCACTGTGATCATCATCAACCAGAGTACACCAGTAATATGAACTGGTGCTTCGTTGCCGTACAGTCAAAATAACGTAGAGGAAGATGGATAACAGGATAAATAAGGAAGATATAATGTGAAAACCAAACATTGGGAGCAAACGTTCAAGGTCAAGGCGCCTACACCTTATCAACACCATATGGCCAGATACACCGATGATGGAGCAGCCTCAGTGAAACAGTTTTCTTGCAGCTTTCACTGCCATGCGGCAGTCAGGTAATCACAGGTAACTCAGCACCAGATAAAACTTAAACACGCAACCCAACTAGAAGGCGTAGATAAAAGAGCAGATATCCCGTAATGTTACAGAGTGAGTAGCGTGTACTCCAGTCTGGTAGGGGAGACGGAACAACAATACCCAGTGACTTCATTTTCGGCTGCCAAGTTAAGCTCTGCTCTCTCCTAGCTTCATAGGTAGGCGACGACCTGATATAGATAGAACGTGCTGAAGCCAATGTAACTTACTCAATGTTCTTTGTTTTGAGGAACTAGCATATTATTGCATAGCACTCGTCTGCATGCAACATCGGTGAGGACATGATGGTGCCACTCAACGATGATCAGACTTGAGAGCGCCGCAAACTCCAGGCCGAATGGACCAAGTCTCGGCCTTTCAGACCGAGAGTAATCGCATTCTAACCTCACAGATGTCGCAGATTCAAGAAGACGATCATAGGTTTCGCAATACGTCAATTGACTTCAGGTTTATGCATCGTCGCTGCTAACGCACCTACAAAGATAAATTTGTCAACTGCCTACAGTTCAAGGATGTCAACAGTCAATGGGACGACAAGCGACTGGTGGTCTCTGAAGGTATGAAATTCAAACCAATTGATGGAACCACTAAAGTTTATCCGTGTTTGATTTTGCCGTGTCGCGACTGCCAAACAGCAACACGACATAGTCCGCCTAATCCAGATGAACCGATTCTCCACCAGGCAACAGCATCCTGAGTTTCTGCAACAGAACACTTCATCGTAGAGTAAATCACAAAGTTAAACACAAGTGGGGAAATGGGAAACCCCAGAGAACGTCAAGTATTATCGAAAAGTCATCTGACAGTTAATCATAAACACAAACGCAATTTGTGATATTCGAGTACAGAGCACGTAAAATATTCACATATTTCATTGGAACACCTTTCAGAAAACAGTGGATCGATCGACTGTCAAACGCCCGCTTAGTGTCGAGAAACACAGATACCGTCGGAATGCGGTAGGTATGGCGGTACTATGGCAATTTCTACGCATGAACGATACAGTCCCGCTGTTGGCCAAAACCTGCTTAAGCTTTCCCAATCATACATTCCTGGCCAGCAATAAGGTAACGGACGAAAGCAGAGGTCAGTGCTTGTCTCTAAAGGGACTAGGGTTATAGCTCTGTTAGCCCAATCGGTGCAACAGCCATTATGATCGATTCACTCCAATTGATTGGAATGGTCTCCCCATTCCATACTTATTCGAATAAGGTGAACTGTTCGTAGTGCAGCCGCGAGATAATTTGGGCAAGTATTGCAAAATTGATGGAGGGCTGTGATAGCGTTCCGAACCCCAGTCTTCGATGGAGCCCGTAGACTAACGGGTAATGGTCCGGTCTGCACATAGTGGGCGGGAAAAAGCCCAGGATCGGCTGCCAAATGCGTCGCCAAACGAACGAAATGGTGTTGCTTATCGTGAGTAGGTGCACTGGGGCTACCTTTGATTGTCTCACCGATACATGAGTTCCTGGGGCAAGTCGTACGGATCTTACACGAGAGTAGAAAGTAATCGGTCACCGCCTCTGCTTCCTCCACGCATACAGCCCTTTCAGTTCAGCTGACTTCTTTATCATCACGCACGCTCTGTTTCGGCTCTCATCTCATCGTCCGTCTGGTCACGTCGAGCTCAGAAGTAGTCGGAAGTTTTACGCTATATTTCAGGTTCATCGATATAGCGGATATCCAGTGAATGGTGCGGTGACAACCGATAGTGCCTCAAGCAGAGGCTCCAGCATCGTGCATGGAGGCAGAGAATTTATTTCATCGAAGCTCTACAGCCTTTGGGTAACCAAGACTTCCTGGTAAGCTTACCTGACGAAGGACTAGGACAACCTATTAGTTGCCAGTCGAGGGAGATGGCTGATACGCCAACCGATGAAGTTCATGGAAAAACGGCAAGTTGCCAGGGAATGAGCATAATAGACGCAATATTATAGTACCAACTACAACTGTCATCGTAAACACGCCACCTGAAATGTATGGTAATGCGATCTATTTGCGTTGTTGCTGCGGAGCGCCGATGGCTTGCTAGCGCACTCGTATCACCAGTAACTAGAATGTTATCAGAAATGTCAGCGCTTGTCAGCGCCAGGCACAAACAAACAGTGTCTAGCGATGTTCTGTGGCCTAAACCTAATTGAAATTTTGAAACGGGTTGCACATAAACGATGGTTGTCGGAAATTTCAGCCCTGGATTGAGAATGATGCCCACTCCAGCTTGATCTGTAGTGAACGCATCTGCGTGCCCGAATGTCTGTAACAAACAGCAAGAAGACAAACCGGGAGCGGCTGGTTCAACAACCTAGTGAGAATCATTCATCCTAGGTTCGGATACGCAACAAGAGAACTTAGAGACTGTTCATCGGACTTCTAATCATTGACCAATCTGGTAAGAGTAGCTCTCAAGAGGCCCAATGGCAGCACACAGTATAGTTTATTGTTGCGAAAAAATAGGCAAACAGTCGCACCAACTTAAGGTCCAGAGTTATCCAGACGGGATACAGTGTCGTCGAGCAAATGTCTTTGAAACGATGCCATTCCGAAACTGGGTAGACAGAAGAAAAGTAGTGACAAAAATAGGCTTTTTAATGACGACCTAACGTCCTTTTACGCGTTATTGGCCGACGAATTAGAGGGTGTACAGAGCTACGCGTAATAATGGAAAATAATACAGTGGGCCATATTGTTAATATACATATGTAAACAGTACGAGTTGAGCGACGCAGGCGGCTGGAGTTTAACAGATGGTCCAGTGCGGTTCCGAATTTTGGTGCATGTCACGGTAGTGACGAAAATGACGGTAGTGGTTCGCATTACCATATAGTACAAGGGAGTAGGGAATCGAAAATGGCTAGGCGGTGGTTAATTTTCAAATTTAGGTCTCGCAATTGTTAGGATCGAAATAAACGCAGGTAACTAAAAAAGTGGTTTTGCTACAGCAAAGTGGTATTTTCAGGCAAACCAAGAACCTAGAAAAACATGGTACGGCCGTTTCCTCTTTTCGGAAATCAACAGTGCGCATCCCATCTGAATCCTGTGGGCTCGAAGCCGCAACTTTACTGCCCTCTGCACGGCAGTAAAGTGTAAGTCAGTGGATAGTGAGCCG